ACATTGATGTTAACACATCATTAACAACATTTTAGTTTTTGTATTTAAGAAATATTTTTTACAGATATTAATATTTTTTTAGTTTTTTTATTTTAAATTAATATTTTTTTAATATTCTTTAATTATTTTAATATACTGATATTAAAAATATTTTTTAAAAAATAAAAATAATATTATTTTAATATATTTATAAATAAAAATATTTTAAAAAATAATTATAACCATGCTCTTAAATATATCATTGTCAACAACCTTTTTTTTAATTTACGTGGGGTGTCCGGACCAGTTTGCGCGCACCACGACTAATCTTCACGGCCTATTGAATACCCTACAAACCCAGTAGGCATGTAAGGCACCGCAGGAGTGACAGGCGTACACGCCAGGGTTCGAACCCAAGTGCAGTGAAAGGAAATAAGTCCCTTCCACTAGGCCAAGCACTGAAATACATCAGTTAACAACCTTAATCCACTAAGAAGAATATTCTTTGCATTGTTAGCTGAAATATACTTTTGATAATCTTTTATTCGTTTTAAAAGCAAATAATTTTAAAAGAGGTCTTGTTATTTAAAAACATGAATAATTGTAAAAATATTCTTATAATTTAACATCAATTTCATTTTCTCTGTATATTTTTGTTTTTATTATTTAATTCAGAATGTAAAATATAATTTAATAAAGTATAGAGAGAAAATCAAATTAAGATCAAATTATTAAAGAGTTTTTGTAATTGTTCAATAAAAATATCATTTGTACTTTGACAATTGACGCTCCACTAATTTATAAATCCACACCAACTATATAGGCCCCCGTAATGGAGTATTTATTGACTAACAATGCAATTTAATTCTATTTTTAGTTGATGCGACCGAGAGATTAATTAAATATCATGTATGGCGTTTGCTTTATTGGATACCTGAGGTGTCAAATCCTTCATCCATCCTAATAAATTTAATAATTATACATTGAAATCTTTTATTTGCAGTAGGGCAGGCGGTGGAGGTGGCATTAACGATCCTTTTTAAGCCTCCATTTCCTATTGCGTTTTGAATGGGGAAGGGTAAATTTTTAAATTTTTTTATTTTAAATTTAATTTTTTTATGTTTTTTATTAATTTTATTTTAAAATATTTAAAATATATTTAAAATATTTTTTTAATATATCTCGATATAAAAAACTATTACTATCGTATTCCTAAATATACTAATGCCAGTCTACTTCTCGCAACTCACAACACATAATCAGGGTTAACGGTCTGTTTATTTTTATATTTTAAAAATATTTTTTAAAAAAACTAATATTTTTATTTTTTTATTTTAAATTAATATTTTTTGATGTATTTTAACATGAAAAATTACTAATATCACATTTTAAAACATGCTAGTACTAATCTACTTGTCACAGTCATAGCACTCTTTTTGATTTTGTATTTTAAAAATATTTAAAAAAATTATTTTTTTTATTTTTTTTTTATTTTTTATATATTTTTAGATCATTTTAATATATTAATATCAAAAATAATATTTTAAAAATAATTATAACAACACAAACACAGAACATCAAATATAAGAGACCATCAACAACTCCTATCAATGGGAAATTTCCCTTTTATCACACCACATAGTTTTCTTTTATGATGATTTAGAAATAGAAAACGGACAATGCCGTGGAGATAGTCGCACTCCTAATTATTATAATCTCTTGTCTGGATGACACAAGCATCTAACATTCCAACATATTTTCAGTTTCTTCAAGACAAAATCCAATTCACTCATCACGTTATTTCCTAACTCAACTGCATGATCGAAAAGCAGAAATTGAGTGATATGAAATAAACATCATGACCTTAACACACACGCAAACCCTAATCTGGCTCATAACTCGGTTAAAAAACAGAGTTACTATTTAAAAAGATTAATCAATAAATATTATTATTTTATTTAAAAAAATTAAAATAATACTGTTTTTTAATAAAAACTAAACAAGGTTTTGACTTTTTTAAAAATTGGCTCAGCAAGCTAGTTCCGAGTCGGTCCAACCATGGAGCCGAATTTAATATTATCGGTGCAGACATACCAAAACCGATATAAAAGACTGTTTTTATATAAAAGCGAAACCGCCCAAGCAACGTGGAATTGACGCCGCCCAAGCAATAAATAAGCTTGTAAGAAAAACATGAGCACTATAAAACAACATCCTCAACAGCATAATAATAAACTAACAACGGCAACAAATGCAGTCAAACAGAGCCATGGGGCATGTTAGCCCTACAACGTGGAGTACCTACTTTCGATACACTCCTCTCTCTCTCTCTCTCTCTCACGTGACTTGAAAATTTTTGCCCACGAAGAAAAGAAAAATTAATATTATAATAGACACATTTCTTCACCGATGATGCTGGCAGGTCTGGTTGGTACTGTAGTTGAATTATGTTTTCTTTTTTAAAAAATTTTAAATTAAGTTTTTGATGTTATTAGATTATTTTTAATGGGGTGATATGAAAATAAATTTTATAAGTAAAAGAAATATTATTTTAATACTAAAATCATTTTAAAAGACTGCCGTAATGCTAAATAAGCCCATAACCAAAACGCTGTGTTTTGTGGTCCCCATCAATCAGGAACGGGAGGGAAAACAGTGGGGAAGTACTGTAGCTATCATGGGAACCAGCTCATTTTATCTTTTCTCCCTTCTTTCTTTCCCTCCATGAACAGAACAAGAGGTCCTTATCCAGGACATTGTCTGCTACTCAATCTAATATAATGGCCCAAAAAATATTGCAAAAGAAGGGAGAAAGAAATTGGGTCCTACACTAGAAATTGCAAACACCATAGTGGGTCCTACACGTAACCATGGATTTTGGGGGACTGTCTGAAAATTCATTAAGAAACGTGGCTTACGTCCACATTTCAATGTTAAGCTCTCCCACTACCTTGTTTTAGCCAAGTTTCTCATTTTTTCTCCCTCTAAATACTGTTAACGACACAGCACATCTTTTGTTTCTTTTTAGTTTAATGGGAAACATATCATGTCTAGAACCATGTATTAGTGTTAGTGGTTAAGTTTCCTCCTCCTTTTGTGTGTTCTTTACGTGTTTCTTTGGGTGCTAGATAAGCTAAAAAATCTAAGCTCTTGGCTTTCTTGGGAATCAGAGTGTGATTGAACTGGGTTTTGGTTCTTGGATCCGTTTCTTCTGGTAAGCAACAAAAGCTGGCCTCTTGCTTCATATATGTTTTTCTTTTACAACTACATACACACACTACTAGTTAAAGCTTGTTACTTTATCGGTGTTTGCTTATGCATTTCTTTTAAGTTACTACTTTGATGGCTGGATTTGTGATTTTGATAGCTTATGGGGTTGTGGATTTGTTCCTGGAAAGGTGGTACAAGAAGAGAAATATTAGTTTTTTTTTTTTCTGCTGGTTCTAGTGATTTTCTTTCAGCTAGTTTAAGGTTTTCTTTCCATATTAAATTTTGGAGTAAGGTTAAATTAAAAGGAAAAAGGAAAAAATAAAAATAGAGTGGGCCGAGAATAGTAGAGTTGAAATGAAGTTAGTTGGGTTGATTGAGCGGGCCTTGTGTGTTTTATTGAATTTGAGCAACCCCATAATTTTTCCTGAACATGTATGTGATTTGTGAACCTGTTCTTCCTCTCTTTATCACTCTTTTGGATCCATGTTCAATTGATTTCATGTAACATTGCGGAAGATGCAGTTTGAATGTTTTTTCTCCTTATATTTCTCACTCTCCCATCATTTCTTTATTTTTTGATATAATTCCCATGTGCAAATTGCTGTCTTGGTTTTCTTTTTCCTTAAGAATCAATATCATAATTATGGAGTCTTAAAGAAAACTAATTGTTTACTGTTATAACTCTTGTATTGATTGTTACCTTGAAAAGGTTAATTGTCACAAGATGCCTGGTTTTGCCTCAATTTCCTGTTTGACGTAAGAAACAAAGTAAAGTGACATCAAGAAAGGAAAGTACTTTGATATTGGCATTTTGACAGAAAAGTGAAAGCTTCAAGATTTAATGAATTACATGCAAGACATTCGAGCCAGCATGGATGCCCATGGTTCAAGTTTTTGACAACCAATATTGATTTTGATTTTTCACTTTTTACTTCCTTTTTCCTAATAATTGTAATTTTTTCAGAGATTCTGATGTGAAATGTATGAATATTAGCTTTCTTCTCTTGCATGCTTCATTTTGCAATGTGCTGATGGTAGCCGTTCAAATCACTTTTCAGATTCCTTTGGGATAGGAGTGCTGATGGTAGCCGTTCAAATCGCTTTTCAGATTCCTTTGGGATACGAATTTGGCAAGAAGAGGCTTATCTGATATGCTGCAGCTTTCCAATTTATATCAAATACTTGGAGACAGAAAATGAAAACAAAGTTGTCAGCCATTACTGTGCTTTGCTAGATTGGAGGCTCAAGATGGATGATACATTTGCCAATGCTCAAAAAGATGGCCTGGGCAAAGAGGATTCATTGCATAGCTTAAGCCATGATAGTGAATTATCTGGTGACCACGAGCTGGATTGTTCCCAATCAAAATCGAGTAGGCTGACAAGAAGGGTAAATTCACATCAGTATCTGCATTTAAAAGTTAAGCAACTTCAACGCAGTAGAAGTTGCATCAAAGATTCTTTCCTTCGAAGCATTCATGTCTTAGACAATTGGATTCCAAAGCATATAATAACAATCGATGAGAAATATCTTCGTCGTTGCCTAGAATTCATACATGCCAGTACTTCTCAAGCGGCTCCATGCAACGCCTCTATGTACTTGGATTGGGGAAACATGGGGCTTTTCTCTGATGGCCTGAATATAGCTAAAATTGGGAATCAAAATACATGTAGTTCGGCTGGGTTTGATTTTGACTGTCCATTGGCTGGGACCGGGAGTGTAGTCATTAGCCCTGCAGAACAGTGGATTGCTGGTTCAATCATGGGTAGCAAGAGCATGGTGAATATACTGAAGAGTCCTTTATTGCGCAGATATGGTGCATATGATGGTGATGCCAATTTTGAGAAAGTGACTTCCAGCGATGTTAAAGGATCAATATGTTACGATTTTATGAATTCTCCTGGTGCGTTAAGTAGTTATTCACCACATGAGCTCGATAACGGAGCACGAACTCCAGGAAGCCATAAATATGAATCAGAGAGTTTGCACAAAAGGTTTGTTTCTATGTCGAGTACAAACTCTACTTGTTCTGATCAGTCCTCTTCTTCTCTCCCTGCTGCTGTTACTCAGGGGACGCTCCAGTGCACGTGGAAGGGGGGAAACCCACATTTCATCTTCTCCTTGGACGATCAGAAGGTGGTCTACGTGGCCAACTTTTATAATGTTAATTCAGCAGATGATAAGGCTCTAGAGTACGTGTATTTATTCCATTCTAGAAAAGGTGGCCAAAGGGAACATATGATTCATGATAAAGAGTCTCACCTTGTAGGTCAGATGAACGTATCAACTTCTTTTACTCTTTGCCCAAACAATTGTAGAATCACGGAGAGAGAATTTGTTTTGTTCGGTTGTTATGAAAATTTAGTGGGAGAGTTGCGAAGTTCAAGCCATGACCTCAGGAAGAACAAGGGATTGTCAAGCAGGGTGGTGGAAGTGTTCAGGACCACCAACTCATTCAAGAAGAGAACTAACTCCAGATATGATGGATCTGGTGCAATACTGGAGAATTCTTCTTGGGAGCCTTTTCAAGAGAGAGAATACAACATGGACGCGCTTGGTGGGACTAATCTCTTAGAAAATCATCTTCCCCCAAATCTTGAATTGGCGGCCATTTTGGTGAAAAATCATCTTCCTGAGAAGCGTCCAGAGAAGACTGGAGGTTGGGGTTTGAATTTTCTCAAGAACACGGCTGTAACGCAAGCCAAAGATACGAAGGAATCCTCAGTACTTTCTGCCTGTTGTGCCCGAGATACCGGTGATTGCTCAACAAGCACTGATATTCTCATTCCAGCTGGTCTTCATGGAGGTCCAAGGACCAGAAATGGTGGTCCTTCCAGTCTTATTGATAGATGGAGATCAGGCGGGTACTGTGATTGTGGTGGCTGGGATCTAGGGTGTCCGTTAACAGTACTCAAAAGCAGATCAACCAACAAGGAGTTTTCATCCTCTGCAGATATGCAGGGGGAGTGCAAGTTAGTTAATTTGTTCATACAGGTGAGCCACACTCCGAGTAAGCTTTATCCATTAATTCTTATGGTGGCCATCGCAAGCGCTGTCTCAATGCACAGAAAGAACAGCAACGGATATAATTTGCTTTTTTTCCTTTCAAAATTTGTAGTTTCTCCATTTCTTTACCGCAATTTCGTAGATTCTTATATGAGTATTAATGTAAGCATGACTCAACTCTTATTTTGCAGGGTTCAGAGAATGGTGCTCCCCCTTTGAGGATGGTGAATGTCCATGATGGCATGTATTCTGTGCATTTTCAGTCAACATTGTCAGCTCTGCAGTCTTTCTCAATAGCAGTGGCATTTATCCATAGCCAAAAAGTCCCGCACTCCAACCATAATACGTACAGAAGTTAAAGTAGGAAGATTCATGTTTCAGCTTGATGTAGTTGTAACCTCTTACTGTACTACAGCGCTTCGTAAGTCAAAATTTACAGTAATTATACATGAAAGTAGATTGTTAATTTTGGAAGTTTATGTTTTCTTTTTACTAGTGTTTTAGTGTTGGATTTTTTTTTCAAAAGTAAGTTGTTCTTGTTAGCGATTGGGATTGGTTATCCTTTGATTTTCCGACAAGAGTATCATGTAATCTCTATGCTATGATTGATTGTACAATTGTTTTTATGAAAGATGTACGAATTTTTGTAAGAAGAATTATAGCTACACGCCCATCAGCATATGGATTACAATTCATGTAATGCACTGCAAATCAGTGGGAACTGGAATTTAAGCATAAGAAGAATTAATATGAAATTTTTCTGTGACAGAGATCTTACATTTGTAGTTTGAAGAGGATAGGGTTGTGATTATTTTCCGTTTCTTTCTAATTTAGTTCTCTGCACAACATGGTACCTTAAAGATAATAGAAAGTGAACATTCTATTGGGTGTGCACTTAATGGCTGATTGGGTATGGAACACTAAATATTGGTTTCAATGTAGTTCAATACTATACTGTATTGATAATCTGAAAGGATTTTGGTGCATTTGGCTATCACATGCACATCTCAAGGGTAGATGGAGGGCATGTGCTTCTTAAATGGCTGAAGTCACGTTGCTTTACAAGAGCGCAAGTTAAGCAGTCAAAGTTATCGTTTTTCAAGTGGAAATAGCTGAGATCCTTTTGTGGCTCATGATGCTTCATATTACTGCATGGTTCCCAATCATGAATCTAAACCTGTCAATGTGCGGATTGCAGGCCTCTTTCACTTGCACTTTGCAGGTAATGTGAGCTCCAGCTGTTGCTATTTTGCAGTGGTTATTTTAGATTAGAGTTTTTCTCTGCTTAATCATATACACACATAAAATGCATGTCCTAAGGGGCTAATTGCAATTTTTCTTAGTATATGAACAGCTCCCACTATGGTGGTAGATACTGCAGTTTCCGTTGAGCTTTGTTATGGTTACTTTGGGTTTATTTATGTAGCCTTACTGTGCTCACATACAAGAGTAGCTTTTGAAACTCTGTCCTTTGGGGACTCCTTACTTTTTTCAAAAATTTTACATCTAATTCTTTACATTTTAAGCAGCGCATTTTGAACAATAACATGGTTAGCATGCAGTATCACCCATCAGGCACATGATCACGTTCAGGAGTCATTTTTCTTTAGAAGTTTTAGATATAGATCGCAAAGATCAATTTTGGCATTTCCTGGCATGACATGATATTGAATTCCCACGAGCATACCCTCGCATTTTCTTTTCTAAGATATTCTTATCACTGTTAAGTATGAGCAGCTCATTCTGAAACCCACGTTGTTTTGAGAGAACTGGGAAAGTTCAGTTTCAACTTTTCTTATATCTTTGTAGTGCATGTTTATGCTGCTGGTTCATCTTCAACCAGGCTTTATTTTTATGTAGCCTTGGGTTGGTTGACTTGGTCAGTTCTGCGTTGAAGGTTCAATATCTCAAGGTAAGCTTAAACTCTTCCTGCTTTTTCTTTCACAGTTCTTATTTTTTTAGTATTATTAAGTCTATTCCATGCAATCAAAAGATAACAGGAAGCATGTTTCATCATGTATAATGGAAAATGAGAAATATAGCATCCTTTCCCTCAGATGTTTCCAGGGCAAACTTAAGGAGTTAATGGCTGGGCTGATCTCAAAAGCTGGTGGGAATTGGCACATGGTTAAAGCCTAAAGATTCTATTTCACTTGTTTAATGATCTTCTATTATCATATCTATGCAGTTTACTCTTTTTTCTGATAAAATCTAGGGAGTGAAACTCTGCATATTTTGTTGTTTCTCTGTGGATGCAAGTGAGACTTGTTTCTCTGCTTCTATAACGTGGCAGGTGATTTTTGACATGTTCCATGATCCTTCAGTGCCTCAAGTTGAATGTATCGGCTGTCCACTAAAGAACTGGACAAGCTCTTGCTTTTGTTGACCATCACACGCGCACACATTTGAGCGCCTGCGCGCTTAAAATATGATACATCCTGCTGTGTTATACTATAGGAATAGTTTTTTCTAGCAACAATTTTTCCTTGGCACAGACACCCTATAATGGATGACGGTGACATTTTGTGTCTTTTAGCGTTGAAAGCAGCTCCTCTGACGTTTTCATCTCCCCTTGGTAGCTTCTGGAAAAGAAGGTAGCGCTTGGAACCAGGAAAGAAAGTAGTAGGTAGGAGATTTTGGAGCTGCTTATCGATTAATTAACCATTTTAACTGTTATGCCTAAACATGATTTGACTTCCTTACACCTCTTTTTTTTTTCATTTGTTTCATACACCATTATAGATAAACTGCACAACATTATATGATATATAACTTGAAATTGTTCCATGAAGCTGAGTTGATCATGAGTGAGCTGTGTACATTGGTTACTGGAACAATGGAACTGTTTGAGGTATTTGTTATTATCTCTGATCTTGATGGTATATGTGGTTTTTGAATCCCTTAGGGGTCCTCATTAAGTAGTGATGCTCTGTATTCAGCCAAACATGAGGATTTTGTAGCTAGCATGGATGTTCTGCCAGGCTGTTCTCAAGGTTGTCTTTAACTCTTGTCCACTGGAACGATTTTATTTTGGTGCAGGGGAAATTACACTGCAAATCTTCACAATCAAGGCTCTTTCTTGGCAGTTGGCATTGAAACAGGGAAAACAAACCTATTGTGATCGGCTTCCTCAAAATTGATGTCCAGTGTCTCAGGCACAGAACCATCGTGTATGCAGTATTGTCATGGCATTGCATGAATCTAAGCTTGCTTCTATAATCATATCTCATATGGTCCTGGCTTCTTGCTAGAGTTTGTCGGAGAAGAAAGGAAACGATCATATCCAAAGGCAGAGAACTGCAACATATTATACTTGCCAGTGTCTTTTCTCGGTCGTGGTAGAATGGTTCCAGAAATTGCTGTCTAGAATTTAGGTTCGGGTATTCGAAATTGCTTCCAGCGAGCATTGCGTGGTCACTGTGTGGGGTTCAAGTCCGTGTTCCTGCACAGCTTGCTAGATCATCTATTCCACTACGTGCATCTTATGACTAGTTAAAACACAAATCATTAAAAGCTAGATCATTCTTTCCACAGCATGAGCTATAGATTGACAATTCCGTTTTCCATCGGTTTTTGCTGGTCCTTGAGTGATTGCCCCTGCATCTGACAAGACGTATTTGTGTCTTCCAGGATCATGCCGCCTCAGGCTAAACAATGTTTAACTAAATCATAAAGAAGGTTCCGGGTGTTGGAATGCTGGGCATGTCAAGGCATTGGGGCCAATTTTCATGCATTGAAAGAAAAACAGAAAGGACTTGTGATCTACCAGGCATTTCCAGTCATCTTCGCGGTTCTCACGTGGATGCAAGTTTCGTGTTAGAGGCTTTAGGCCCACCTTTTCACCTGGTCTGCTCCTCTTCCCATAACTCTCTAGCACTACGCCGTATCAATCTTCCCATAGCTCTCCAGCTCCATGCCGTATCAAGATGATCGGAAGTCTTGATACAACGGAAGGTGACAATGGTCGAGTTTCTTGATATTTATATTTTATTTATTAAAACAACAAATATTTATAAACCATTTATCAATATTCAGGTATCAAGTGAGTATTTATTATTTACTATTATTTATTAATTAATAGTGTGTGTGTAAAGTATGTAGATGTATGTTAAATAATAAATTATTCATATATGTTTTATGTCAATATTAAAGCATGTGTATATCATATTGTATTGAAAAAATTTATATATTCTACAAATTAGTTTATATAATATAAATACATGTTGGGTTAGATTCGGGTGGATTTCAGGTAAAGTTTGACAATATATATATCATTTTTATTATTTATTAGGTCCAAAAAATATTTACCCAGATTGGGTTGGGTTGGATTGATATTTCAAGAGTTTAGATTAAATTGTAATTCCTAAATAGAATGCTTTTAAAGCAGTTTAAAGAACAACACAACTGTTTTTAATTTAATTATTTTTAAATTAAGAGCTATGTTTGGTTATTATTTGATTTAATTAAAAAATATATTTTGTTTTTGAAACAAAACATGATTTAGGGTTATCTGATATTGTTGTTTTGTAACTGTTTTACTGTGTTGCTCAATGCTCTGAAGTAAAAACATTGTTTAGTAACTAATTGTGCGTTGTGTTTATAAATATTTAAAGTGGTTAAATAGTATTTGGTTAAATTTTATTAATATATTTTTTAAAATATAAAATACCAATAAGAATTGTATTATATTAAATAATAAATATATTTCATTTATACGACGTGATTTATAACATTTTAAACTTACTTGCCACATGTTTATATTTTTACGTGTAATTATCAAGTTTAAGAAAATTAAGTAAAGAAGTAAAATAGGTGGATAATACACACACACGTGTCATTTTAATAAAATAAATAATATATAAAAAAGATTTTGAAATAGATTTACATAAAATACTGGTAAATTTTGAATGTATAATTAAAAAAATTAATGAAGAAAAATTTTATTTAATTAAAAAATGGATCCTAAAATAAATTTGTTTCATTTGAGGTTTCTGTTATAAAATTTATGAAGAAAGAAATTAAAAAATATTTTTTTTTTGTGAAAAAAAAAGAACAAAACAAGACCAACAATAGCTAACATAAATTTCCTTAAACCACGTCGTTTATTAATTTTTAAATTATTTTATAATAAATATCTAATATTCACATTTAAAAAACAAACAAACAAGTTTTGTATTTATATTTTCAAATTTGCTTTTAAAAGGGAAAACGAAAATGATATCAAAACAGTTGAGTTAATGGGCTTTGTTTGGACAGGGCTTAGTTTGCAAATTACAAGTTTGGGTATGACTCGGTGTTTCGCTAGGAGTAGTGGCAGGAAAAGGAAGGTAGGCCCATTGCGTCCGGCCCATGCTTGCGAAATCAGGTAGATACGGTTTCACGAGGCCCCTTGTACAATATCGGTATTAAAAAAAAGACAAGGATATAACCGGAAATACGAAAAACACCAAAACAAAAACCCTAGACTTATAGAGAACCATCCCTATAAAGGCCCCAAACCCTAAGTTCACTCTTATTGTTCCTCCAGCAGTCGAAAATGTCGAAGCGAGGTCAGCTCTGTCTTGTCTCCTTACATCTTTTTTTATTCTTCATATTTTCCTCTGTGATCTCTTAGAAAATGAAATAAAATAATTTGAAATCATCACAAATCTCTTGTTTTGTGTTTGCTAACAGTTAGATTCTTAACACCGTTGCTGTTGTTGTTGGTTTGAATAAAAATACAGGACGTGGAGGATCAGCTGGCAACAAGTTCAGGATGTCACTGGGTCTGCCAGTGGCAGCAACAGTGAACTGTGCTGATAACACTGGTGCTAAGAACCTTTACATCATCTCCGTGAAGGGAATAAAGGGTCGTTTGAACCGTTTACCTTCTGCTTGCGTTGGTGATATGGTTATGGCCACTGTCAAGAAGGGGAAGCCTGATCTCCGGAAGAAGGTCATGCCTGCTGTCATTGTTAGGCAGCGTAAGCCTTGGCGCCGAAAGGACGGCGTTTTCATGTACTTCGAAGGTCATTCTCTTCCCTCTGTTATTCTATTTTGATGTTTCATCATTTCTAGTTGTGTTTTTTTACCTGTCAGGTGTTTATTTACTGCCTTCTATGTTGATCTTTTTTATTTTAATAGGTTGTTTATCGCTAGTCTATCATCCTATGATTTATGTTGTTATAATCATCTCTCCTACTAGAGATCCAAACTTTTTCTGTTTTGTGATTTGTAATTTGTATTCCTATAGAAATTGCTTGCATGCTAGTACTATCGCAGTAAGGTTTTTTTTTTATATATATATATATATACGTGTTTCTAGTTCATGGAAATTGATTTTTGTTTTTCAAATTGGTCAAAAAACTTATTTGGGAAACAGCACAGCTATCTGTTTTGGCTGTGCCAGTCTCACTAGTGCAGCATAAAGAATTTCCCTGATTGTGTGGTGGTGGACTGGGCTGCCACAACAAAATATTTTTGTTTGTTGTATCAGACCTGCCGTGACAATTTGATTACTCTCTAATTGAATTTTTACTAATTGTGTTGTATGTCTTCCAATGAAGGCGAGAATAATTTTTTTGCCCTTCCAACAAGTCAGTCTGGTATAGACTGTCTAGTGTCTTGTTGCATGCATCCACTTCTGATTTAATAAATAATGCAGAGAGAGTCACAGTCATATAATTATACAATAACACCCAGAGTAATTGCCCAATAAAGGAAACAGCATTTTTGTTTTTGTGCAACGAAATATAACCAACAATCTTAATTTAAGTAACATGGAGTAATAATGTATAATCAATTTGTTGCGGAAGTGGAACTGGCACAACTTGAGACTGTTTTACTGCCAGTAAATTAAAAAAAATATTTGATGTGCTGGTCACACTTTTTCAATCTTTCTGCAACTGGTGTGATTGGGGAAATATTTTGCTGCTCCAGTGAAACTGGTGCAACCAAAGATGTGCTATTTGCCTAATTTTTTCTCCTGTTTACTGCTAAGTTGAAAAAAAATTGAAATGGGGGTTTGCTGGTTAAGCAGTGTCATGATGCGCGTGTATCTTCTTTTTTGATTTGGGTGTGTTTTATGATATGATGCTCCCTAAGACCAGCTATATTGAACTAGATGGTCATATATTTAACTAGTATGATTTATCTAATGTAGAATCACACTTTTTTGCAATTCGATAACTTAGTTCTGTATTTGGAAGTGTTTCCCAGTGCCTGTCTTAGATGTGTTTTAAGGTGTTTGTATGATTTATTGCTGGTGATGTGGTGTTGAGAATGCTTGTATTACAGTTTCTTTGCACCTCCCATACCCAGCTAGATTATATTTACTCACCTTACCCTGATTTGGATGGTAATTTTGTTTTATCATCCCTATCAAGGTTGAAACATGCATAATGTGTTTGGTTTAGTTAGAGGTATATCCTTTATTTCATTGATATATTTTTTGTTTATCAATTTCCAAAACGTGACTTGACCACATTGGTTGTTAATTTATCCATTCTGTGAATAACATGGCATAATACATTCAGGGTTTTAGCAGGGTAGCATGACATGTTACCAGACATAAGTCAAGTATCATCCTAAAAATTCTGTGGTTGATACAGTTACATGTCTGGTAAATTGACAGAGTCCCTCGTTACAGATTTGCTGTCTCTTTTAATTTGCATATCTGCTCCATTTGGACCCAACATTTGTATTTTAAAGTGATTTTTTTTTAAATTTTGATGCTAGTGCACTCTTAATGGTTGTCATTTGGAATATCTTCAATATGATTGGTTATTGAAACAAGTGCACTTTTATTGATCGTCATTTGGAATATCCTCAGTATGTTTGGTTACTATGTTGTGATATGGGGGTATTTTGCTTTACATGTCAGTGAAATTCACTCCCGCCATGTCTCTCTTGTTTGATAACAACAGGAGACAATGACAATTCTTATGGCTGTTTGCTCGATAAATAACAAGCTTGTAAATGTTTATTTGTTTGTTCCTGAATTGGAATTCTTTTTTATTTTTATCTGCAGATAATGCTGGTGTCATAGTGAACCCTAAAGGAGAAATGAAAGGTACCGCCTAATACTTGCAAACTCTGGGTCCCCATGGCTGCCACCATTCTTCCAGTGTTTTGAGATGTACAACTTGTCTGATTTCTTGCACATTCTTATTTCATGTTACTGTTGCTTCCAGGCTCTGCAATTACTGGTCCAATTGGAAAGGAGTGCGCTGATCTTTGGCCAAGGATTGCAAGTGCAGCCAATGCCATCGTTTAAGAGCTTTAATTTTTCTGTTCAATCCATTTGGAACATACTGTCGTTAGTCTTGATTGTTTTTGTAGGGATAATCTTAGTTGTGTTTATGAAAGCTTGACTGAATTTTGTTTGCGAGCTTTATATGCAGTTATAAACTGCATGAAGTTTGCGCAAGAAAGATGGTATAATTTTGGTGTTGATTTCAAATTTTATGGAAACCCTTCATCTAAATTTCTAGCTCTATTAAAAATACTTATTCCTTCACGCAATGTGCTGCCGGATGTTTCTACTCATACCAGCAAATATCATCACACCAATTATTCAACCACGGGATCGTTGAAGTTTGTTTCTGAGAAGTTGATTGTTGTTTCCGGGTTAGAAAACCCTGTAACTTCTGGTGCTGTTGCTGCATTAGAAACCTCCCCATTTCGATGAAATTAGATTTTGCCCATTGCCCACTGTCTGTTTTGAAGAACATGTGTTTGACAAGCACTGTCGCGATACCTGCGAGCAGGTATGCCCTGCATTTGTTTGGAAGAATCATGTACTCTCTCAACGTGGTATTGTTTAAGAAGAAAATCAACATCAATCAACAGTTGACGACGTCCCCAGGCATCTTATTGATGATTGATGGTGATCATCTTATCAATGACCAACCTTTGTGTGGCTATTGCAATGCAGTTATAGTCAAACAGTTCTTTTCTTTTTATAGAAAATAAAGTTCAGGATGATACTCTGTGATTGATTTGGTGTTTTGCAACTGGATCGTGCTGTCGCGTGGAATTGTCAGACCTTACGGCAGTAAAACCTTTGTTTTTCTATCAATCAATTTTCTTTAATTTAGGGTGCTCGCCACCTCGGCCAGCATGTGAAGCTGGGATCGAGTTAGTGGCCTGCGACAACTTCCCAAAAATCATGTGACCAAGTCACTGTTTCTTGATCCATCTCCCTGTAAATATGTAACCTCCTCGTAACATTACACTCGAGTCCTCTTGTGAAGAAAAGGATGGGGACGCTTCTCGGCTTCTTGTTGTGTTTCTCGAGTTTCTTCATCAGTGCAACTTTTGCAGACTGGAATATCCTGAATCAAAGAACGAAGAGTGGGCTAAAGATTAGCCTGAAAAGTTATTGTGAAAGCTGGAGAATAAATGTTGAGCTGCATAACATCCAAGACTTCACAATTGTGCCAGAAGAGTGCGTGTCCTACATTGGCAAATATGTTGCATCAAGCCAGTACCAGGTAGACTCCGAGAGGACAATTGAAGAATGCAGATTATATCTCAGCACCAGCTGCCTTTTGAAGAAAGATGGCAGAGACGCTTGGCTGTTTGATATTGATGATACCCTGTTATCTACTGTGCCTTACTTCAAGAAACATCATTTTGGGTAATCCATTTCTTCTGTGTTTGTTGCTTACAATATTTGTAGTGAAGGTAAAACTGGTGGTTGCATGCTTGCAATCAAGAATCCTGATCTATGGCCTCTTTTCCCTTTTGTGAGCTTCTGATTTGCTATGTAATAGTGATTAAACTTTTCTTGTTTTGAGCAGGGGAGAAAAACTGAACTTGACATCGTTAGAGAGATGGATGAGTCAGGGCAAGGCACCAGCCTTGGAGCATTCACTCAAGTTCTTTGACGAATTGAAATCTAAAGGAGTTCAGATTTTTCTGGTTTCTTCAAGAAGAGAACATCTTAGATCAGCCACAATCGACAACCTTATTGATGTTGGTTATCATGGTTGGACTCGTCTTATATTAAGGTAAACTCCCACACCGACCAATTATGCACCCCCCCTCCCTCCCTCCCTCATGCTTTACGAGAGTACTTCTGGCTCGATGCAGGGGCCGAGATGATGAGTTGAATGAGGTGCAACAATACAAGGCCAACGTGAGAAAACAATTGATCAGCAATGGGTACCGCATCTGGGGAATAGTTGGAGACCAGTACAGCAGCTTTGAGGGACTCCCAAGTGTGCGAAGGTCATTCAAACTTCCAAATCCTTTGTACTACGTTTCTTGAAGCATCACCCAGACCACTACCTTATTTTCTTTCGATGTCCATTGTGTTTTTGTGGCTCCAAGAAATCTGTATTGAAGCTTGCTTGTTTATTGTTAAACCCTGTCCTTCGGTATCCAAATGATTCTCAGTAAGGAGGTTGTCTCAAGACCAAGCTAATTTTGAAACCATCATTAGATTTGCACTTAATTCTCTATGTGGGCAATGTCAGGACTGAAGCCTGGTAGTGGTATACGCCACCCAGGATGCATCGATGTTTCCAAACAATCTGCTAGAAGCACTTGATGATGCTCACTCTAGGAACTGAAGAACTTCATCAGCACCATGATGATATTCAAACACGCATGAAGTAACTACATGAGCTTTTATTCAAAAACATACGCAACGCTTTGATAGTTGATAAATAATCAGTTCTAGACAACCACTCGTGATAATTTTCTGCAGAAAGAAAAGGCCAAGTCTCAATTTATTACACCAACATTATCAGTCAAACAGAAAACTGTTAGGTTCCTGATATTTGAGTACTTAGCAGTAGAGATCCCTTAGCGCATCTTAGCTTCAGCACCCCTGTTCATTTTGGCGCAATACTCGAATAAACTACCATCAAAACATCGTCTTATAGCTTCTTTAGACAGGAATCCTTCTTCATCCTTTGCAAGAACATAGAGAAGGCCCCATTCGAACTTAGCTCCCATCCTGCAAGCCATTGCTCAATCACATCAGCGTGGTTTAAAAAAATTCAAGCATAGTGAGTTGGAAAACAGATGGGAGCCTGGAAATAAACCATCCAAATATATCAAAGGCATTCCGTTGTCCCTCGGTCATTTTCCAGAGCTCTCCAAGAGACAACTTGTCTGGCTTTGTTTTAGCATACTTGCTGAAAATGCTCTCGAAATTCACAGGTATGTATCTGCATAGGTAATCATGGCAGTATAATTTTAATCTTTAAGCACGATCTAGATACAGTTCATGTGTTCAAATCCCTACCTTCCTTCTGTGTCGTAAGTCCCAGAGTCGCTTCCATGCTTGGCTTTGTGTATGTTGTGTATGTGTATTGGAAAAAGGGGAGAAGGGAACCATCCCTGAGACAAATTTTTTATGCTATATGATAAGCAGTTTCCTAACTCCACACTGGAAAGATAAAAAAACTCGCATCGATCTTAAAACAGATTACACACTTAAATAGATAATGAGAGCCACAATGTACGAAATATACAATCTTTTTTTCAACTCTACAATGTGACATCTGATCCTTCATTGTAAATGTCTTTAGATGGCAGAAACAGAGCTGAGTTTACTTACAGGAAGAGTAGCATAGCTCAAAGCTCCGTTGATGACAGCAGCTACTATAAGAGAGACAATTATATTGAAACCAATTGCACGCAATCCTGTGTTTTGTTGGGGATAGGGTGGAGATGATCAAAAGAGAAGGGAAATGTAAGTAAAATGTGAAGAATAATCAACAACAAAGGTATATTTCATGATTCGGCGAACTGTACATCATATAAAAAATTTCGTTTCCTTTTCTTTCATTTTCTTTTTGGGAAACAAAAGATGCAGAGTATGAAAATATAATCTGGGATGATGAAAAAAATCAAAATTTTTTTTTTTACCAGTGTAAGTCTCCCAAGGGTAAACTATTCCATTTTCATCTAGGTCGAAAAAGGCTACATGTTGCTGAAGGACACTCAACCCGCGATGCTTATGTCCCGGTGTTCCATGAGGATTTTCTGTATCGGGAGCTTGCAAACCTCTTGCCATGTCTGTTTTCACACCAAAGGAACAGATCAAGAGTTTCATCCAGAAACTAAGAATAGCATGTGGAATTACTCCATGGAAGCATAACATTTTCCCCTCCTTAGTTCTTCTACCAGTGAATTCAGCTCATAAATTCATCTACACTCCCCAATTTGAGCATTTTTCATCGCCCAAAATTGGCCTCAAATTAGTTATCAGAAAGGGTGAAGATCAAGGAAAGTCAAAGTTAGGCATCAATTCTGTAAGTAATTTTGTTAACCCTTCCTCTTGATTCTACCATGACATGGCTCACATGTTACTGTCTATGCAAATTTTCTTAGCACAGAGTATGTGATATAAAGCATGTCCCTCGATTATTCAAAATAATTACTATGATAATTTCTTGACGGGAGACAATCAGTCCAAGATACTTCAAATCAAACATACCAGTTTCCAAGACAAGAAAAAGATCTCCTTTTTTTCGTTTTTTAATCAAACAATTTTGATTTACTACAACGTAAATAGAGCAAAGATTGATAAAGAAACACAACCCTTGTTTTTTCCCTTCATGACTGGCAGAATCACAACACACATGTTAGTCAGAAGGCAAATTGCAATAGTGGTTCTTTCTCTAAGAAATCACTTACTATATATATACATTATTAAATTTATCCACAACACATGTTATTAGTGAAGAATGACTTGAAAAAGAACAAGAAGAAGAAGAAGAAGAAGAGACGACTTACAAGGCTTTGGGATTTTATCATCCAAATCATCACGAACAGGTCTCTCATGAGTAACAGGTGCATAAGGCGCTTCTCTTGCCAGTGAATCCTTCTCGATCTCCCTGGCCATTAATTTCTTGTTTCTGCTGTGTTTGTCCCTTTTGTTTTCCCTCTTTCTTTTTATCTAACAACCTCTCTAACTCTCTTTCCGTAATTCAGCCTCGCCGTTGGGTCAGTATAAATTGACCTAGCTAGGCTGCGTGGCAGCCATGCAGAGACAGTTGCTTCCTTGTGGCAAGCTCTAAACTACACAAAAGTATGCTTATGGATTTATGCAGGGTTTTTTTTTGTTTTTTTTCTTCCAAAAAAATCCAATAGAAATCTTGGCCCCGGCGGACAGGGGCTGAGGCTCCTTGTTTAGCAGGGGCGGAAGCGAACCTACATGTTTGCCTTTGGGGTCAATGGCACCCCCAAACTTCTGAAAATTGTTCAATTTAACCCTTGGATCTGAGAGTTAATTCATTATGGTCATGCATTTGGCCCGTCCAAAGCTTTTTTTTTGCTCTAAGATCCTTTCTTGCTTTGTTTTATTTTCAACTTATTGCTTATGTTCTATTTTCCCTCCTCCTCCTGCTAAAGAAATCATCTAATCTGCCTTCTATCTTATCTTATCTTGATCTTGATCTTGATCTTAATCTCAATACAGTAAGTAAAAGGGATGTAATTGTCATAAAGTTTTACTGTGAAGCTACATGTTTAGTA